GTCGCAACAGGTGAGCCAAGAGATGATTGGACCGAGTGGATTGGTTAACTGTTGAGCAGAGCGTAGCAAAATAGATGGTTGTCTGGTGAACAGAGAATATCAGAGTGGATGGTTGTCTGGTGAGCAGAGCCTATCAGAGTGGATGGTTGTCTGGTGAGCAGAGAATAAAAGACTGGATGGTTGACTGTAGAACAGAGCATAACTTAGCATCGCATAGCAGAGTGGATGGTTGACTATAGATAAGATCATTGCAGAGTGGATGGTTTCTGTTGAGCAGATCGTAGCAGAGTGGATGGTTGTCTGTTGAGCAGATCGTAGCAGAGTGGATGGTTGTCTGTTCAGCAGATCATTGCAGAGTGGATGGTTGTCTGTTCAGCAGATCATTGCAGAGTGGATAGTTGTCTGTTCAGCAGATCATTGCAGAGTGGATAGTTGTCTGTTCAGCAGATCATTGCAAAGTGGATAGTTGTCTGTTGAGCAGATCATTGCAGAGTGGATGGTTGTCCATTGAGTGGAATGGCAGTCGAGGAGTTCTTTAAGCAGTTTTGGCTGTTATTTTCTTTCGCTTTTATTAGCATCTTAAGTTTTCGTTTCTTTAGATTGAAGTGTAGGATGAGTCGGAAACGACATTACAAAGTTAATTGGATTGTTGGTGAAGTAGATACCTCTTTATTATGATAAATAAATAAAGATATTGTCAGGTATCAATATTTTAATTCAACTTATGATCATTTCGATCGCGTAGCGATCATCATCAGAGCTAAAATGTGAAATACAAAACTAGAAATACATTTCACATTTTAGCTCTCAGGATGATCGCTACGCGATCGAAATGATCATAAGTTGAATTAAAATATTGATACCTGACAATATCTTTATTTATCTGACATTACAAAGACTAGCAGAACGTAATATAATTCCCACAAACTTAGAATCGGAGCGCGCTGGGCCTCGAGTCAACCTTGCACGCCACAACATTATTTCCGGTTAAAAGGTACAGATGAGAATCTGGATAAAGTTTCACGCTCACGCCATAAATTCCCCTGCGATTGATTTTTCTAATGATGTTCATTCAGACAAATTGTCGGGCGATTGAAATATGAACTACTGACAACGTTGAAAAGTTCGTAAAGCATCTCACCAGCAGTGATAGTGTGAGGTTAGGTAGAAATTAAATAAAAAACGAGTTACATCAGTTCATTAATTTCTATATTATGATATCTTGGTCCTAGATACTTGCGTATTTTGGAATGTGGAATGGTGGATCAATCAGATCGCATTTAGGACAGCAATATCATCTAATATAAAATAAGTCTACTCCTATTCTCAATTACTCTATAAATATTCTCTCCTACTCAAATATAAATATAGATAATTCTCGTGTTCCACGTGTTGCAGTCTGGTGGTTGATTCCCAATTCTTATTATTCTGTACAGTCACCCAGATAGTCGTGAAAACCACACAAAATTTCATCATCCAAAAATCTATCCATAAAACTATTATCAATCAACTGCACATCTTTCTGTATTTAATTCTGTATCTTGTAAAGGGTAGATATAAAGGGAACTAACTCGTAACCACAGACCTAGGGGCTGTTGTGTTGCTCATACTATTCGTATTAGCATATCAGAATGTAACTTTACGTATGAAAAGCGAGACCCGATGTGATACCAAGGCAGCCATGATATTGACCGATATCAACTTCTAAGCCAAAATGGCACCAAATTAATTACCTCATACGTAACTGTAAGTTTTTAATTGATGGAAAGTTCGTAAAGTCGTAGTTTCATCGCAATACACACGCTTAACAAGCATTTTCTGTCATCTCAATGTTATTAAACCTATTAATACGTTACACAACATTGTGATTTGATAAAAATTATTAATCACATATTGTGTAATTATGTTTTTTAATGGTATCTAAAGTGAGTTATATTTTATAATAAAAACATCAAAGAAATTTATTTTCGTGATACCATTTTAAGAATACTTGTCTCTCTTTATATATAGAAATGAGAAAAATGTAAACAAGTCTAACATCATATCATAATATCCTATCTTATATTAAAACTACGACAGTTATATTTAAATTGTATAACAATGTACGATGTTGACTTGCTAATAATGGGATTACATTCGGAATAACACTAATTATTTTCCAATTTACAAAAAAGAGCATTTCGAAACAATTTAATTACATTAAATTTTTGTTGTGCGGAGAAATTAAATTTTAAAGGTATGACATAAACGACATTTAATTATTATGATAGCTTGATAATGGTCACAGTGACTCCGTGGCGCAATGGTAGCGCGTCTGACTCCAGATCAGAAGGTTGCGTGTTCGAATCACGTCGGGGTCAATACATTTTTTGAGTATTCTCTAAAAGAATGCCTGATAAATATTACAAATTAAATTAAATTCAAAACTTAATTACTTAAGTTGTAATGTGGATTTTAAAGTGCTTGTGTCAATCAAAAAATTCAAAAACGTAGGTCCATTGAGAGTACTAATTGTTATTTTACGCATAAACGGATGTTTGCATCAATAATAATGAAACACTCGCGGAACATACAGACCCAGTTGTTAGATTTGGTAGTTTATTTTAGGATGTAGTAATAAGTAATTTTAGGATGTACTATAAGTAACGTAAATGCAATCAGATATGAAGACGACTTTATTCAGCTACATTTCTGAAATATATGAAATACTTCTTCGAAACAATTACCCACGTAATTGCAATATTCTTCTGGCTTGGAATTTAAAATGCTCGAAGGGCGGAAAGGTCATCATAATTGATGAAAATTGTAGGATAGGTTTGAAAATTGTAGGATCCCACACATAGACCTGCTTACCTACCAAACACTAATGTTGGTTGTAAGAGTTGTCCAATCGTAAGGGCCAATTAATTACCCCGTCACGTTGAGGCTGTTGGGTCGTGAGCGTCCAGGCGGCTTCACTTCGCTAACGGACTATTATACCGGGATCAAACTCGATCGAAGACGTGGATTTTTAAGGACGAAGAAATCCATAGTACGCCTTCCTCGGTGGGGAAGTAAAGCTGGCTGTCCCATGTTCTAGATTTACTGCTTGTAAAAGCTCCCCAGCCTAAAAATAGTCTCTGAGCAGAACTCTGGTCAACTGTTCCGTCGCCCGAGTGGTACCTTCTTTCTCCGCTAATGGTGAAAGGCGCTTAGCGAAATTTGCGTGGCGAGGCGGAAGAGCAGGCCTGACGGCCTGAGTGTCGCCACGCAAAACGAGGCATCGCTGCATTGGTGGTGACGGCATTGGATGCGGGCGCAGCTGAGTTCGCAGGCGTGGCGGCGGGCGGCGGCGGTGGCGGCGCGGGGTGGCGAGGTGCGGGGGCGGCTGGGGGGCGGTGACGACGACGCCTCTGAGTCCAGCGAGGGCGAGGACGACGCGCCGGGCGGCCACGGGCACGGCGACGGCGCGGGCGGCGGCGGCGGCGGTCCCGACTACGAGAACGTCGCCTGGCACGGGGAGGACCGGCGGCTGCAGGTAGGTTGCTCTTGGCTTGGTTTCTCTTTCACCCGCCAGTTATCGCCTCAACTCTGGTTGCATATGTTCCTTTCTCATACACCTTTCCCCCCACCATTTTCTCTCCTCTCTCTCAAATCATTTCTCTCTCCCCCTCGTCTCACCTCTCTCTCTCCTTCCATCCCTTCCCATCATCTATGTCCCCCCCCTCTCCTATTTCTTCCTGTCTTTCTCTCGCTCTTTCTCGCTATCATTCTTTTCGTTTTCTTTCTTTTTCCTTGCTTTCTTTTTCTTCATTTTTTTCGATTTTTTGTGTTTCTTAATACTTCTCTTCTTCTGCCTGTTCAACTTCTCGTCTCTTTACTTACCTTCTATGTGATTTCTCCTGTTTTGATTCACTTCTACCTTCTTTTTCAAATGATTTATTCTCTATTTCCCTCTCCCTCCCTTCTATACTCTCTCCCTTCCTTCTATACTGTCACCCTTCTCCTCTCTCTCACCCTCCTCCTCTCTCTCACCCTCCTCCTCTCTCTCACCCTCCTCCTCTCTCTCACCTTCTCCTCTCTCACCCTCCTCCTCTCTCTACCTCACTCCTCTCTCTACCCTCCTCTTCTCTCACCTCTCCCTCTCTCTCACCCTCCTCCTCTCTCTCACCCTCCTCCTTCTTCACCCTCTCCCCTCCCCTCTCTCTCTCACCCTCCTCCTCTCTGCCTCTCTTCTCTCTCACTCCTTCCCTTCCTCGCCCTCTACTCTCTCTCCTCACTCCTCCTCTCTCTCTCATCACTCCCCTCTCTCTCTCTCTACTCCTCCTCCTCCTCTCTCTCCGATCCTCGCCTCTCTCTCTCACCCTCCTATCTGCTCTCTCACCCCTCCTCTCTCTCCTCTCACCAACCTCTCTCTCTCTTCACCCTCTCTCTCTCTCACCTCCTCTCTCTCTCACCTCCCTCTCCTCCTCTCTCTCTCACCCTCCTCCTCCTCTCCTCTCACCTCCTCCTCTCTCTGTCTCACCCTCCTCCTCTGCTCTCTCACCCTCCTCCTCTCGTACCTGCCTCATCCCTCCCTCCTTCCTCTCTCTCTCTCACCCTCCCTCTCTCTCTCTCACACTCCTCCTCTCTCTCTCTCACCCTCCTCCTCTCTCTCACCCTCCTCCTCTCTCTCTCACCCTCCCCTCTCTCTCTCTCACCCTCCTCCTCTCTCTCTCACCCCCTCCTCTCTCTCCTCACACACCTGCCTTCCTCTCTCTCTCTCTCACCCTCTTCCTCTCTCTCCACCCTCCTCCACTCTTTCTGGCCTGTTTTTATTCACTTCTACCTCCTTTTTCAAATGGTTTATTCTCTATTTCCCTCCTCTCCCTCCCCCTTCCCTCCCCCTCCCTGCCTCATTCTCTTACTTCTCGTGTACCATATTTCATCAGCATGCCATCCGACTACTTTTATATTCCACCTCCGCCCTGTCCTCTCCTCTGCTCTCCTTGCCGTGCGCCAGCTGACGGGAGTGTGTGCGCGCGCAGGCGCTGCCCTTCCGGTCGCGGGCCGGCGTGTACAGCCCGTCGCCGCCGTCGCAGGACGCGCCGCCCGACCTGCACAACGACTCGGGCTACAGCACGCGCCTCTACGGCAGCTCCAAGGGGCCCTCGCCCGCGCTCTCAGGTGAGCACTCGCGCACTTATTCGTACTTCGGTTTATTGAGAGCTGCTCTTGGCGTGAATCAGCTGCTGCGGTGTCCTCCAATCGAGAGCTTACACGTCACGACAGTGAGGTTCAACCTCCCGATTGGATTACATCGGAACAACTGATTAACGTCAAATGTAATTACGTTTAACTCCAAGTATAGGTATTGTCATTGCAGCCGAGCGGTTTTTTGATACCCAGTAGTCGGTAATTCACACCTTGAAGTGATTTAGATGTATTTTACCAACGTCAGTCATGTGATTTTTTTAATTCTCGTTGACGTCAAATCAAATGGGGGGGAGGTGTGGTCGGAGGTTAACATATTGAAATTATTCACATTTATTACACAAACGTTGGGTAACTTTTGCTTCAGTCGTTTTACTCCCCTTTTTTTATCATTCCGTCAATAGTAGAAAGTTCGCTTGGAACAATGAATTTATGCAGCTAGAATGCAATAAAAACGCTTTATAACTTCATTTTTAAGAAATGTAGCTTACATGCATTAATTAAAATTTAGCTCATTACGAGTTTAAGTACCAGCGTGATAAAATAATGAACTTGGGCTCATCAAAATTTATCGGTATTTATCGCCTGTCTGTTCTTATGTGTTTGATGACTTTATTCACACGCATTCTACATATTCGCTTTTCGTCAGAACTAGTATCAATTCTTACAATATTCTTATTGGTGATATTGGAACTCTGTAAATCACTCGTAAAAACTATGCCTAACATCCAACTATACATACTGACCTGACGCTTTGGTGGATTAATAGCTGGCGCTCGAACCGTCAGAGAGTGGGTTCTAAGTGTTGGGAAGTAGCAGAAACCCTGCATGGTCTACCACACTGTCTAGTTCTACCAGCAGAAATTCTCTCCGGGGTGGGCACCTAAGCTTTTCGCCTTTATCCGCACAA